TCTTTCTTTCTTCCTTCCTTCCTTCCTTCCTTCCTTCCTTCCTTCCTTCCTTCCTTCCTTCCTTCCTTTCTTTCTTTCTTTCTTTTTTTTAGAGTTTTTTTGCTATAGGGTGCTTGCGCTTGCCAGACAGAGAGAGACAGAGAGATAGAAAGTGAGAAATCACCCCCCCCCCCGGGGGGGATGGCCACGCCGCAATCTCCTTCTGGGATCTTGGGCATGCATACACATGCACCTGGCGTGGGTCTGGGACTCAAACCATGATCCACTTCATGGGAGTCCAGCGATGTAGCCATTATGCCATCCGCTGGTCCCTTATTTATTTATCTTAATTTGGCCAGAGAGAGAGAAAGCAAGCTGCCAGGTTCAGGACTCGAACCATGGTCAGCCATGTGGGTTAGGTCTAGCGCCCTTAACCACCATGTCATCTGCCAGCCCCAGTGCAATATTGTCCCTATCAGAATCCTCTGGGGTGCTGTTTTGTTTGTTTGTTTGTTTGTTTTTTGAGAGGTTTTTGCTATAGGGCATGTGTGCTCGCAGACAGACAGAGAGACAGACAGAGAGACAGAAAGCAGGAAATCACCCCCCAGGAGGGGTGGCCACGCCGCAATCCCTTCTCCTCCATTCTCCTCTCGGGATCTTGGGCACGCACACACACGCGCCCGGCGCGAGTTTAAGCCACCGGGTCCGGGACTCGAACCACGGTCGACTACGTGGGAGTCCAGCAACATAGCCATTACGCTAACTGCTGGTCCCTGGGGTGCTGTTATTAAAAAGGCAAATTCCAGGACCAGCAGATGGCTTAATGGTTGTGTCAGTGGATTCCCATATAGTCAACCGTAGGTTGAGTTCCAGACCCAGCTGCTTAAAACTCATGTCAGGCGCCAGGTGCGTGCCTGCCCAGGATCCCAAGAGGAAAATGGAGAAGGGATTGCAATATGGCCAACCCCCATTTCTTACTGTCTGTCTCTCTGTTTCTGTCTCTACAGCAAGCACACACACCCTACATTAAAAATCTCTCTTAAAAAAGGCAAATTCTGGACTCCTACCCCAAACCTAATAAATCAGATGGTGGGGGTAGGTGCAGGGACTTGAATTTGTTTATCGATTTATTTATTTTTAAAAGAATTATTTTGTTCAACTTTATTTTATTTTTTATTTTTTTGAGAGGTTTTTGCTATAGGGCATGTGCGCCTGCCAGAAAGACAGAGACAGAGAGACAGAAAGCGAGAAATCAGCCCCCAGGGGGGATGGCCACACCGCAATCCCTTCTCCATTCTCCTCCTGGGATCTTGGGCACACACACACACATGCCCAGCCTGAGTTTAAGCTACCAGGTCCGGGACTCAAACCACGGTCAACTACATGGGAGTTCAGCGACATAGCCATTATGCTAACTGCTGGTCCCTTATCTAATTTTATTTTTATTTACTTTAATTTGGCCAGAGAGGGACAGAGTGAGAGAGAGAGGGAAAGTGAAAAAGCAAGCTGTCGGTTCGAGGACTCCAACGGTGGTGGTCAACCTGTGAAAGTCCAGCGCCCTTAACCACCACACCAACCTGCCAACCCAAGAATTTTTTTTTTTTTCAGTAGCTCTTTCAAATGACTAGTCCCTAAACCATATTTAAGAAACATTAAAGAAAGCCACATGATCCAAGCTGTTGTGGAGCACAGCACCTTACAGAGCACGCTCCCACGGCTGGGCCTCCACATGGTCCAAGCCTGCGGAGCACAACATCCTACAGTGCACACTTGCCACTGGGCGTTACAACAGTGTTTAAAGAGAAATGCATCCTTTCATCACCGTGCCCACTACTGCATATCAGGACCCACATGTGCCTGCCTTATTTCTGAGCCTCCCTCATTTCTGTGGTCTGCTTGTCTATCCTGAGCAACACCACATTTTCTCAATCATG